AGTTCTGCCTCCTCGAACAACCCAAGAGGCTCGCAACATGCAGGATCGACGTTTTAACCTAGTTACGGGGTCAAACATTCAAGCCTGCAGAGTAAAGTCGGAGCCTCTGACCGCTTGGGCTTCCTGGTTGTCATTTCCCTCTTGCGGGCACCACCCTGGATGCCCCAAAACTGCGCTAGCGATGCCGTGCTTTACCCCCTTCTCGTGTGCTCGGCATGTTCCTGCTCGGCCCCTCTTGCGACTTGGGCGAGCCTGGCCGATTCATGAGGCATGTGGTTTGCAATTCCTTGTTCGGCGTTCCCCACCCAGACAGATTGCGGCATGGCTCGTTGTCGTTGCAACCCGTGTCCAGCGAGCGCGTATTTGCATTGGTTGCCTTCTGTCCTGAAGACGTGGGCAAGCGAACGCGAGCCTGTGGGCACACACTCAGCAGCAAGAGGCTAGGAGGATGATCAATAGCAAAATCAAAGGGAAAAGCAAGACACCTACATGGACGGATTGTAGCCCGTTTTCTGCACAACGCGCGGCGAGAGATGATCGAGGAATGGTACGCCATATGGTGTGACGGCCAAGTGGGGGGTAGAACGACAGCCGATGGACGGACGAGCCGCGGGCGACTAAATTGCACTCTTAACGAGCGGAAAAAAACACCCTCATAATAAGCACCCCGACAAGCACAGCTGTTTAGTCCACGCACCCGAGGAAGGACTCGAACGGGGCAGGGCTGCTTACTTAGTAAACGCCCAGGCCCATCTAGCAAACGCCAGTTATGGGGGTCGGGGTGTTTTTTCCTCCCACGAGTTCGAGAGCCGCAAGAAAGCCGTCGGGCCGTTCTGCCCCCACTCTGGCCCCACTGTCAGCGGTGTCCGACCTACCGGGCGGCGCGGAAAGAGCTTCGAGAGAGATCCCCGTAGCAGGAGCAGCGCGCAGAACTGTTCATTCGGAAAGGCTGCGAAGGTCCCTGCCCTCTGCCAAAGGTGGGCCCTACGCCTCCTCCTCCTCCTCCTCCTCTTCCTCCTCCTCCTTCTCCTCCTCCTCCTCCCAATCTTCGACGTCGTCCTCCTCCTCCTCCTTCTCCTCCTCCTCCTCCTCCCCATCCTCCTCCTCCTCCCCATCTTGATCGTCCTCCTCCTCCTCCTCCTCCCCATCCTCCTCCTCCTCCTCCTTCTCAGGTTCGATCTCTCTCTCTCTCTCTCTCTTTCCCTCCCTCTCCTGCCAAGATGAAAGGCCGTCGAGGTGCAGGCCATGGAGAAGAAAGACTCTGCAAGAGCCCAGCTGGCGTGCACACCCACAAGGGCCCCCAACATCCAGTCTGGAGCTCTTGGCCTTTAGACATGTACAGTCGGGGTGGATTGGAGAGGACACGCAAGAGGACACAAGACTCGTCCGATGGCCACACTGCCAATGGAACGTAGAGGGCATGGGTCGCGAAACGCAGGACACAAGTGTACCCTTGTTTGGGCAGGGTCGATCTACACATCAAACTCGACTGTGCGTAGGAACCTCCAAGCTGACGTTCTACCATTCAATTTCGGGAATTTGGGCCATCATGTGGGCCGCGGATGCCCCGTGAGACTCCCCCATCCACTTCCCCTGGTGGATATGAGGAGAGAGATTGAGAGAAAGAGAGAGAGAGAGAGAGCAAAAGAAAGAGAGCAGCGGGCCAATAAACGCGAGCCATGCTCTGATGATCTGCTTGGCCTGGCACTGGTCAAGCCGTTGAGAGGCAACGCAATTGTGCGTGTGCCACGGATCCATGAGTTGCGCCGGAACCCCTGCGAGTTGCGGAAAGGAAAAGGCAAACCTGCAAGTTGAACTGAACTGGCCAGGGCAAAATCAAGTGACACAATCGTCAAAAAGGGGGTCGCAGACTGCAACGGGCATGGACCAAACATCATCCGAAGCAGGTGCTGTTAATACAAATGGCTCCGGCGAATCTGCATTCAACTAGCAAATATCTACAGGCTGGTCTGGTCTCGGATCTTCCAAGACCGCCAAGGAAAACACTCAAACACTTGGTAAGACAGCGAGGCAAAGTTTCAAGCGCTATGGAGGTGGAGAGACGGCGCTATACGATGCTGTATGGTATCACTTGTGGTGTGTGCGTGGGTAATGCACTCCTTTCCTGTTCTTTCTGCACTTGTCACCTTCTCTCTCATCTCCCCTTGCCTCTCCTCTGTTCTCCTCATCCCATCCCCTCTCCTCTCTTCACCTCCTGGTGCCTCTAACTCTGCTCTGACCTCCACCCTCCACATCCTCCTCTTTCTCCACTTCCATCTCTCCTCGTCCCTGTGTTCTCCGCTCCCACACCCCTCCTCTTTCTCCCCTGCTCCTCTTCGTACTCATACCTACTCGTCCTCGTCTTCGTCATCCTCCTCCTACTCCCTCCGCCCTCCTCCCTCCATCACCCCCTCCTGTTCTCCCTCCCTCGATCCCTCCTTGTCAACCCTCCGTTCTCCATATCTCCCCTGCCTGAAACTCTAGAAGAGGAATGAACTCTGAGCCGCGGGGGTGCTGGCGCGCGGGGTCCCCCCCCCAGCGCAACCAGAGGAGGAAAAGCGCGAGAGCCCAGATTTGAAATGCAAAGTAGCGTCACCCTAATAGCACTTCTACTCGGGAATTGTACGAATATTACTTGCACGTTACTGTGTGCCCCAATTCCGAAATCGGCATCACATACTGTCTGCTTATTCCTGAACCCCGATTTTATTATGCTTCCGTACTCCCAAGTCGCGATCATATACTGCTTCATTTTCCCTAAGACACGAATATATACTGTTTCCTTGACGTCTTCAATTGCAATTCGATAAGACTAGTCGTACTGCAGGACCAGGTGCACTCTAGGAGCAGCTGCGCGCTAGCACATGATGGTACCAGTTGCACTTAAGTGCTAGGGGCGCTCTTGCCAGAGGGGTTCAGGGGTTCCAGTGGCAATGCGCGCGCGGAAGAAGGACAAACATCCATACGCCACCAAGGATATCGGGTTTAACAGGTCGCCGCGAAGGTGGACGCCCCGCGGAAAAAAAATCTGGCCAAGGGGGTCAGGGGGTCGCAGGCATGAGTCGCGGGGGCGATGTTCCCCACCTCCTCTGCTCGTCGTTTCTCGAAGCATCGCATCTCCTCTCGTCTTACTACAGATATGTATAAATAGTCATCCCTCTCTTTCGCGTCCCCTACGCAAATGTAGATGTGTAAAGACGTGTGGATATATCTAAATATGTGTAAATTCATATCTTGCTCATCTCTCTCCAGGATGCTGACACAGATGGGTCCCGCACCTCCAATAAAATATGGACGGCCCCCAGGGCTGGTTGGGCCCCCTTTAGACCTGATGGACTCTTCTCTGCGGCGCCGTTTGGGCATCCACACCTCCCGTTCGGTTTCTCCGATCGCCTCGATGGCTTTGAGGACGTTCTGCGGATGTCCGACGAGGGGCCCAAGGCGGCCCCAATCGCTTGAAGACGCTTCAAAGGCACCCAGGAAGGCCCCAACAGGCTCCCCATGGAGGCCGCCGACAAGCCAAAATCTTCGAAGCACCTCGAGAAGATCGACGATTTTCGCCTTCTCACGCGTTCGCTCCCGATGGCTTGCCGATGCCTCCAAGAGGTCCGAAGGAGCCCCCAAGAGGCTCCAAGAAACCCCCTGGATGCCCGTGGAGGTCCCGAAAAAAAACCCGAACGCTCCGAAACGCCCCCCGAGAGGGCCCCGAGAGCACACAGTCTTGTATGGATGTTGCGTTGTCGAAGGTGTCACAATTCTTCCATTACCGAGCTTGCTGCGCTCCCAGACGGCCCAAAAGTGCCCCAACTCGGCCCAAGAGCGCCGCGAGACGGCCCAAAAGGCTCAGGACGGACCATGGGGCATCCAAAACATTTCCTGTTCTAGCCCCGGCGCAGGCCCCACCGGACCGACCCCCGCTCCCATGCCAACGCGTTATACCCGACCCCATTCTCCCCTGCTCACGCACTCACGCATGCCAGTAGAACCTCGGCCCCAAGCTCGCCCCAAGAGAGCACGCAAAACACTTTACCTCCATCCGGCCCTATCGGGTTTCGCCCGTACACTTTGTCTGGCCTGTCCGCAGTTGGGCGCTGCCCGTGACCTTCCCGACCCTGCCTCCCCAGCCGTTCCCCCAACTCTACCCCAAAGACCATCCACGACCTCTGCAGCTCGAAGCTGCCCGTGGCCTTCTGGACCCTGCCTCCCCAACCACAGCCCCAACTCTACCCCGCGTACCTTGGCCTCCCCAGCCAGCCCTTGCCCCAACTCTGCCACAGAGACCTCCCACCTCTGCAGTTCGAGGCTGGCCGTGCCCTTTCCAACCTCTGTCTCCCCAGCCATCGTCCCCACTCGACCCCCGCACACCGAGCCTTCCGTTCCCTCCGCAGCTCAATCTGCGCGTGGCCTTCCCGAACCTGCCTCTCTGCCCCTCCAGCCACTGCCCCATTCGTTGACCAGCGACTACCAGGGCCATCCCATGATCATTGCCACCCCCCACCTGATCGCCCATCACCGACGCGCACTCCCCCTATTACCCGGGCGACTCTAACACAATATCCACGGGGGGCCATCCGGAAAGAAAGCATGCCCGCGGCGCGCAGAAGAACCCAGGGGGGCGGGCCTCCGCGGAAGAAAAACAGAAATCCTTGGCGAGGGGTTCGGGCACGGCGGTTGCCCCTGCCAAAAAACGGAAGTTTCTCCCCTGCTCCTCCTCGTATTCATGCTCGGCCTCGTCTTCGCCATCCTCCGTCTAATCCCTCCGCCCTCCTCCCTCCATCGCCCCCTCCTGCTCTCCCTCCCTCGACCCCTCCTCGTCAACCCTCAGTTCTTTATACCTCACCTGCCTAAAACTCCAGAAGACGAGTGGACTCTCAGCCAGCTTCAGGGGTGATGGCGCGCGCAACCAAGAGGAAGAAGAAAAACGCGAGAGCCCACATTGTGAACGCAATGCGTCGTCACTCTGATAGTAGTTGTACTCGGGCGTTATGCTACGGTGGGGGGGGGCATTGTTTCTCTCTGCGGGGGCCCCTGGAGGCCCGCGCACGCAATGGGATTCAACCGCAAGCACGAACGACTACGCTCCGCCCGCGCCACTCTCGCGCCAAAGGGCCCCCTCACGGTTCGACGCCGCTGGTGTCCGCCCTCCGCGCGCGCTCGGATTCGCCGCCAAGCCACTCGGCGTCGGCGTCGTCCGCGGGTGGCTCTTTCTACTCCGCCTTCCGAGCCAGCCACATCGCCGCGACCCTGCCGCGGAACCAGCTCAGGCGCCGCGGCTCCATGTCGCGCAGCAGCTCCAGCTCCTCATACTCAGTCTCCTCGCACGCCTCCTCTCCGCGGCCTGCACCGCCGAGCACTCCCAGCGCATCGAGGAGCACCGACGAACTGCTCTCAAACTCCAGCAGGTTCAATATACGATCCTCGTGTTTCCCTGCTTGCGCCATCTGCTCGATGAGCTCCGCCTCCCCTTCCAACGGGAGCGACTCGATCTCCTCGAGCTCCGCCGGGCTGAGGCGAAGCTCGCCGACCAGCTGAACGAGTGCAGCCAGGTAGTCGGCAGCGGGCTTCCGAATGCCCCACGTCTGCCCCTGCAAGACGACCTGAACGAACACGCCCTGCTCGCTGGAACCACCTTGGCGGAGCCGCGCCAGCCGTCGAATGAAAGGACGGGTAGTCGCGCCCGCCCACTGCTCTAGCTCCGCGAGGCGCTCGCCAATACTCGCTGTTCGCGTCCCGCTCGACCACGGCGGCCCCAGCAGCAGAGCAGGTATCCCTCGCAGGGGCCCCCAAAGCGCCGCCGCCTGCATCATCGGGCCGTCGGCTCCGACAGCGCCAGAGCCCTCCGCACAGGATATTTCTCGAAGCAAGTCGCGCCGATGGGCACCGAGGAGAACGCCAGCGAACCGCAAGTGCAGCGGAGGCCCGTGGGGGCAGGCCCATCCGCGCGCGGAAACCAGCGTCCCGCCCCTGGAAAGAACAAGGCAGCTTCACGGCGAAGAACTTGGCCGCCACCCGACGGCTCCCAGACCCCTGCTGCAGGCACGAAAACCTCGGCGTCCGCGCGCAGCCCCTCGCCCCCTCGCGGGCACCTGGCCCCGAGGCGCGGGCCCGCCTCGCTGAGTGCGCCGCCAATCGCCTGGAGGCGCCGAGGCCGAGGGGCAGCGTTGTGCGCGCCACGCCACGTTGCGGCGTACGCGGTCCTCCAGCTGCTCCTGGTCCCCCGCGAGACTGGCCACCAGCGCTGGCCGCGCGATGTCTTCGCGGCGGCGAGCCTCGCCGGCCACGCCCCCGCCGCTGCCAGCAGCACGGTCCAGCAGCCCACGCAGGCGGTCGAGCTCCAGCTTCGCCGCGCTCAGCTCGCCCTTCAGCTTGAAGATGAGCTGGTCAGCCGAGGCACGCGCCCCAGCGGCCCCCCGGAGGGGCACTCCCGCAGCCACCACGCTCGCACCACCCGTCGCGCAGGGGGACCGAGCCAGCTTGAGCCAAAATGCCTACGAACGGTGAGGGCATTGGATAAAGAACCCTTAGATAAGGAATTCAGGGTCTGGAGGCCGGTGGAACTCCAATCGAGGCTTGGCCATGGATGTCACCGCCGCCATCATCAGACAAATAATCCTCCAGTGTGTGCGGCCTCCTGGGCGCATTCCTTAACCAACCCCCCCACCGTAATGTTGCTTGCACGCAACTGTGTGTCCTGTTTCCGAAGTCGACATTATGTACTGTCTCGTGAATCCTTAATCGCGACTCTATCGCGCTTCCGTACTCCCAGATCGTGATCGTGTAGTCTTTCCTTGTTCCTAAGTCACGAGTCTGTACTGAGTCCTTGAATGCTGCAATCGCAATTCGATAAGTCTAGTTGTGCTGCAGGACCAGGTGCACTCCAGGAGCAGCTGCGCGCTAGCACATGATGGTATCAAGTGTACTCAAATTCTAAATGCAGAGGGTTCAGGGGTTCCAGTGGCAATGCGCGCGCGGAAAAAAGAACAGTTATCCAGGCGAAGGACCCAACCATATGCAGTTGCGAGTACCATCGTGGCGGGTATCGCTTTCGGGGGATCTCTTCACGGGGCCATGAAGCATGCGAAGGGTGTGCCGATATGGGGCGGGGCCGCCATGTGGGCGCTGCCACTGGGACATTCAGGTGGAATCCACTGCGTCTGTGTGTGTGTGTGCGTGTGTACGTGTGTGTGTGTGTGTTTGTTTGTGTGCGTGTGTGTATGTGTGTGTGTGTGTGTGTTTGTGCTTTTGTGTGCGCGCGTGTGTGTGCGCGCGCGCGTGTGTGTGTGTGTGTATGTGTGTGTGTGTGTGTGCGCGCGCGCGCGCGTGTGTGTGTGTGTGTGTGTGTCTGTGTCGGGCGGGGCGGGGCGTTTTCGGGGTGCGCGGGGGGGCGCCAGACGCACGGTCGATCGCAGTATGGAATAGCAGAGTCATGCTGGCACGTATGAGTTTAAGTCAACCCTCCTCTCCTCTCCTCTCCTCTCCTCTCCCCGCGTCTCCTCTCCTCTCCCCGCCTCTGCCATTTTCCCCATGCCGCGTGTTGCTCCTTGTCCTTCCCTCTTATTTCTTCTCCTACCCCCGAACTAGCATGTCAAGCCCTTCCTCCCAAGATGCCCCCCCCCCCCCCAGAGACCGCCAGCAGGACCCCGAGGAGACTCCCACAGGCTCCCAAGAAAAGGCCTCAAGAGAGTCCACCAGGCGCCTGAGAGACCCTCCAAGAGGCTTCCGAGATGCCTCAAAGAGGCCTCCAGAGACCCAAAGAGGCCTCGTGTCCACGACCCAGGCACTGTGGTGGGACGGGCCGAAGGCCACTACATCGCATAGACTTCTAAATTGGCGACTTGCGGTGGAAGGGTGCGTTGCAGCATCAGTGGTACTGGTATGTGATGTTTTACAGTCAAGCTACTACCATCAGGATCGCCGAATAAGGAACGGAGCAACTGTGGCCACAGAAGCGCCTGGGTGCACGAGGAGCGCAGAAGGAAGAATCATGGACGGACCTACAGAATAGCGAGCTCCTTCCGAGCCCGAACTGTTCCTTACTTCAGCGTATTGACGTGTATAATAATACAACCGGAACGCAAGCTTGGAAACGCACCAGAGCACACCGAACAACGAAACGCGCGCCCCCCCAAAAAAGTGTCACAGTCAAACGCGTTTAAAACAACAATGAACAACACAACGGACCAACAACGAAAAACGAAACGAAAAACACAGCAAGGGGAAACACCTAGCTAAACAGCGTTGTGCTTGGTCCTTGCATGAAGTGCGTATTTTGGGAGGCAAACTTTGTTTCTCTGTTTTGGCCCAGAGCTCCCATGAAGGCCTGACGTATGTCTGCGCTGGAACTCTGATTCAACTCTGAAGCTAGTTTGCCTCCAAGATACACACTGAATCCTTGCATGTATTGACTGCACCGTGGTCGTCTTCCTCCCTGTCAGGCGCGGACTGGAGGAGGGCGAGGCACCCTGCCCCTGCGGCGCGGCCGCCCTGGCCATAGCAGGCGCGGCTTGGCCACGAGCTCCCCTTACTCCCCCTCGGGCGAGCAGCACCGAACGTCAACGACCCCAATGCCCAATGTTGACCTCCTTCGAACTTCGACCCTGGCAAAACGCACCCATGCCCCTGAGAAGGAGGAGGAGGGGAAGAATAATAACAAACATAACAACGAGAAGGGGAAGGTGGACGCGAGGAGAGGCAGGCAAAACCGCAACAGCAGGAACAGGAGGAGAACGAGAAGGAAGAGGGAGGATGAGGACAAGGAGGGACGAGGATGCGGAGGGGGTGACTGCTGCCCTTACGGAGGATGATGACAAGGAGGCAGGAGGAGGAGAAGGAGCACAAGGAGGAAGGAAGAGGGAGGATGAGGGCGTGTACCCGTCATTACCGAATCTGCCGCTGTTTCCGCTGGCTTCTGCCAGGCCCTCCGCTGGCGCAACCGCCCGTGCCCGGCTTACGTCCTCCAGCTCTCGGCGCCCCTCTCGACAGAAACGCCAGCGCTCCTCCCACCTGAACGACGATCAGACACGGGTCATACGCGAGATGGCACAACGAAATTTACGCGGTTGCTGACGCGGGCCGCCCGCGCGGCACGCCACATTTGAAGCGAGGGCGCTCACGCACGACTTAACGCGGGCAACTTACGTGCCCATGTCGGCGCAGACGACCCCGCTTCCTTTCGCCTCTCGCTTGAAAATGCGGCCATTCTTAGAACGGTTCACGTGTGCTGCCAACGCTCTGCCCGCCCAGAGCGCCCCTCCAGGGTCGCTCCAGCGTGTTGGGGCACCTGGAAATCATTTAAACTCGAACGAGCAAGGTACAGTCAACACGTATAAGAAGGATGTACGAAAAGGATGCGAGGGCCTTTGACGGCCATGTCGACACTCTGCGAGCGGGGCGCGGCCAGCGAGGGCGGCCAAGGATGGGCCGAAGGGGAAGGATGCAAAGGCCACCTTGGAAGTCGTTCATCCTTACTATGCGGGTTGACTCCAGATGCGACCGCAAACGCGATCTGCGCAGCGGTGCTCATAGATTCTTCGGACAGGTGCATGTCGCGCTGTCACAGCGGTCATCCATGGCAGCCTGACCAACACGACAAACGCGGCTTATTCTTGAAGTCTGTGTGACTCGACGGTCGACGACAAATTCCTACGACGAACTGCCAACACGATCGAACTTCCGTATCTGAGATCGTCATCAGAACATCGAGGGACTGCTTCATGACGAGTTTGGCTTGCTGTGCGGCCGCAGCCGACACGCACCCGTGGTTTGCCTGTAGGTTGACGCTTTCGTGCCACTTGGTCTTCGCAGCATCTTCGAATCATTGCTGGATATTCTGGCGGGCACGCCACTTTGTCCCCCCCGGAGCACCGGAGAAGACCCCATTCACTTCGCAACGCCAGCGCCGAGTCAGAGCGAATAGACAAAACCCTTGCGTTCGACTTATAAACAAGCGTAGCTGTGGTTCTAAATTGCAAAATGCATGATGGCCTTATCGACGACACCG